GGCAAGCACACAGTTTTTAACAAGTGCGTGGTGTTTTGCTGTAGCATAAACCACTGACTTCTGTTTTTTTAGTATTTGAAATACTCTAATTTCTGCTATGACCCCATTGTCCTACCCCCAGTATTTTCCAAAAAGTGTTTATAATTTTTGTTTTAATTAAAAGGGAGTATTCATTATTTGGTTTTAATAATATTCTGGTAGCTTCCTGACTACCTGGGAAGTGTCTGGGGAGAGCCTGGCTGTAGAGAGAGGTGTTGGTATAGCAATGTCAAGACACTCCTTTGAGTCTCTAGACTGTGGCTTTCCACGAATGTTTCTGTAGCTGCAGGTGCATTCTAAGCAGGAAGCACTGGCTCCACAAATCTATCTGTGAATGTATTATTGCTTTATTTTCCTTGAGCTCAAAAGCATATCTTCTCTTAGGTGAAACAGGAGTATATACCTAGTGCCTGCCACCTTCAGTTCATGGGTTACAGTTATGGTTAGAGCATGACTGAGGGTCCTCAACAATGACACTTAAAAAAATTATCTACTTTTTAAAGAAATACTGAGAATCTGCTGTGTGCACAGCACTGACTGACTTAGCTTTGCTGCGTGTTGTAAATTCTGCGTCTTAACCAATGGCTCTTTATAGATTAACTTTTTGATGTAATAAGAAAATGAGAAGGAATAGATCACCAACAACAAATACCTGCTTCTGGACTTAGGAAGGCAGAGCAGTTCTCTTGGGTTCACAGCCCACTCCCAGATTCTCACTTGGTTCAGCAGCAAAGTCTAGATTTTATACAGACCACTTGTATAAAGTAAAATAGAATATTTTCCCCCCTTACTGTTAGTGGATGATATCTCAGTGACAAATGTTTAATAGCTTTATTGAGAAGTAATTGACATGCTTCTGCCTTGGCCTCCCAAAGCCTCTGAGCCTCATGTATTTAAATTGTATACTTTGATATGTTTTGATGTGTTTACACCCATGAAATCATTGAAATCAAGATAATTCTTCCCATTTTTCTGTAGTCTTCCACTGATCTAGTTTTTGTCACTATAGATTAGTTTGCATTTTCAGAATTATATGTAAAATGGAATAATACAGTATGCACTCTTTTATTTTTTTTTGGTCTGTCTTCTTTCACTCAGGTTAATTACTTCAGCATTCATTCATGTATGTGTATCAGTAGCTCATTCCTTTTTATTGCTGGGTAGTGTCCCATTGTATGGGTATACCAGCGCTTATTCACAATCTGTTAGTGGATGTTTAGGTTGTTTCTGATTTTCGGCGTTTATAAATAAGCTGCTAAGAACATTCCTTATGCCAGTGATAATTTAAATTTAGTTTCTTTACCAGTCTTTCCCTTTCTGCAAAGTGAGTTTAATAGGATTAATTTTGCTTTTCCTCCTTCTGTATTGTATCATCTGTCAATACTAGGTAAATTAAGAGGAAAAGAAACAAACTACTTTTGGGTGGGCTAGAGTTTCTCATGGTTATTACTGTTGTATACCAAATATGTAGCATCTTTGTATATCTGTTTTTAAAAGCAAATGTGGCCTAGACAGCAATTTTTAGGATTTATTTATTTATTTTTATTTTATTTTATTTATTTTTTTTTTGAGACAGAGTGTTGCTCTGTCACCAGGTGCCAGGCTGGAGTGCAGTGGTGCGGTCTTAGCTCACTGCAACCTCTGCCTCCCGGGTTCAAGCAATTCTCCTGCCTCAGCCTCCCAAGTAGCTGGGAGTACAGGCGCTTGCCCACCACGCCCAGCTAATTTTTGTATTTTAGTAGAGATGGGGTTTCACCATGTTGGCCAGGATGGTCTCGATCTCTTGACCTTGTGATCCACCTTCCTCGGCCTCCCAAAATTCTGGGATTACAGGTGTGAGCCACTGTGCGCGGCCCAGTATTCAGGATTTATAAAATCAGTTCTAGGCAAAGCTTTCAAATGAGTGTCATTATTTGGGTTGTGTTCTATGCCAGCAAAACTGCAAGCTTCCTGGGAACCTTGGAAACTACTTGGGAGGGATCCTGACAGATCCTCAGGAAGAGACAAGAGGGTCAGAAAACCTAAGAATGAACAAATATTTTGTTTCTTATTTAACTCTGAAAGTGTTTGACTCTGAAGACCCTCTTCTCCCCACTTCATGTTAATTTTTAAAGTATAGCAATGGAGTGATTCTCTACATTTCTGGCTTTGTTCTTTATCATTTGTAACCTTTTCCATAGTAATTTAAAGCAGAGGAGGATCATCCCTTGTTGTTCTGCTTCTGTTCCCTTCCCCAAACTTTCTGGGAATTCCATCCGGACACTGCGTGTGCTTTTCCTCATCTCTTCTTTCAGGCTTTGGACCAGCTGGAGGATGGCCTCCAGGAGCAGAGGGAGAAAGAGAGGCCTCTTGATAGACCCTAGGAGCCACCCAGCCACCTTAATCTCCAGGTTCCTAACTTGGCTTCTGTCTTCCCTTTTTCTAGTAATAACCAGATTTACAACGTCTGCAGGTTGGGTTCACCCCAGTGTGCCCAGAATATTTCTTTCAATGTGGGAGTGAAATATTCTTGTTCATTTAGAGTCTAAAGAGGCACACTTAGTATTTTTTGAGAGTGATTTTCTAAAACAGTACTGAAATGCCAAGGGGCCAACAGCAGGAGCTCCAGTTCTGCTGATTCTGCTGGTGGAACAGCAGTCAGTTAGTTGACCTAGTAATGAGCCTCAGAACTGGTGCTCAAGGGTAGTGCCGACCTCGTCTCTGTCAGGGAAGCATGGCAATCCCCTTTAGTCTTGGTCATTGCAAATCTGATGATAGGCTTATGTGCAGAATCTGTTTCTTAAGGTCCCCAAGGTCTTAAGGCTACTTTGATTCTCTGTCCGTGTCTCTGTAGAGATAAGAGCTTCCTGTTTGAGGGACAAATGATTTCACTGGCAGAATGGCAGTCAACCTTAAGCTTTTGGCTTTTATTTTTTCTGGATTTTGTTAATTTCTGGAAAATGGAATAGTATGTGTTCAGGAATGAGGTGATTATTAAAAAAAATAGGAGGTAGAGGTGAATGAAGTTGGACAGATACTACATGTGACTGTTAGGGCTCTTTCAGATCTCTGGCAGCAGTACGGCACCCACAAATGGAAGGTTTTGCACTTAAGTTGTCTTCGTAACAAATTAACAGGAGGCAGAGGCAGAGATGGAGTAGAGGTGCTGGAATTATTGGGAAGTTGAATTGACCCAGCCATTCATTGTGTCCTGAATGAGAGGAGTCTAGGAAGACTCTTAAATTTCTGATATCAAGTAGAAATGATGGTAATAGTCATCAAAGTAGGGATGTAAGAGGCAGGGCAGGTTTGGTTTTTGTAATGCTGAGTTGACAGATCTAAGGTATACCTTAGGGATGATGTCTAAAGTGGAGGTGGAACTGGATCTGGAGCTTGGGAGGGAGGTTAGTCTGGAATTGTAGGTCTGGCAGGTTCCTCTGGGTGTGTTGGTTAAGACTGTGGACATGGTTGAGTGCTCCCTGGGGAGAACATTTGGAGCAAGAAAAGAGGAAAGAGTTCAGGGAAAACCCACGTTGATGGGATACACGGAAAGGAGGAACCCACAGAGTGAAAAAGAATTGCCACTGAGGCTGAGAGAGTATTATTTCAGGCACGATGGAGTTGTTGGTGTTGGAGAGGTGTCAGCAGAGAAGAGCTGAGACTTGGCAGCAGTTGGGAGACCCTGTTAGGCAGCAGTCATGTACTGTGTTTTGGGGGAGGCCAGATGATAGGAGTAGAGCTCCTTTGGAAGAAAGCCAGAACAGAGCCAACTGGCATTTTCATGGGAAAGTGAAGCAGACGATTTTAAAGGCTATTTGGCCATTGGCCCCTTAGTCTTCGCTAAGTTTGTTTACCTACTGTCCTCCCCACTTCCGGCACTATCCTACCTATTTACTACATCATAGGCTGAGGTTCTCTGTCTAGGGAATGCAAAGATTTTATGCCTTGTGGAGTCAAACCTTTTATAAAAAAAGTGTTAAAGCTTATTGAACACTCAGTAAGATGTTTTTCTTTTTCGTTTTTTGAGACAGAGTCTCGCTCTGTCTCCCAGGCTGGAGTGCAGTGATGTAATCTTGGCTCACTGCAGGCTTTGCCTCCTAGGTTCAAACAGTTCTCCTGATCCAGCTTCCTGAGTAGCTGGGATTACAGGTGCCTGCCACCACACGAGCTGATTTTTTTTTTTTGAGACAGAGTTTCATTCTTGTCGCCGAGGCTGGAGTGCAATGGTGTGATCTTGGCAATGGTGTGATCAATGCAATCTCCGGCTCCTGGGTTCAAGCAGTTCTCCTGCCTTAGCCTCCTGAGTAGCTGGGATTGCAGGCACGCACCACCATGCCTGGCTAATTTTTAGTAGAGTATTTAGTAGAGCATTTTTAGTAGAGACAGGATTTCTCCATGTTGATCAGGCTGGTCTTGAACTCCCAACCTCAAGTGATCCACCCGCGTTGGCCTCCCAGAGTGCTGGGATTACGGGCATGAGCCACTGGTGGTGCCTGGCATGAAGCTAATTTTTGTATTTTTAGTAGAGGTGGTGTTTCACCGAGTTGGCCAGCTGGTCTTGACCTCCTGACCTCAGGTGATCCTCCTGGCTTGTCCTCCTAAAGTTCTGGGATTACAGGGGGAGCCACTGTACCTGGCCTGATGTTTTTCAATTTGTATTTACCAGCATGAGACTTTGAACTTCTTCAGTGTAGGCTTATGGGTGAGGACTCACACCTGCATTGTTGTTAAGTCCTCTCTCCTGTTGGATGCAGTACTTAGCATCCCTGCACAGAATGAGCACATTTGGCCTGCTCATGAGAAATGAGAGTAAATCAGTGATGGAGGTGGAGGAGTTCTGTGAGAGCCAAGAAGGCATCACAGGTGGTCTCATGGTACAGCACTGAGGTGAGCCTGGATGAGTTTGGGTAAGAAAACCCCTGAGAACACTCAGTGACCTGTACAGTGTGTAATGGTTCTTATTTGGATATTTGTTTCTTTAGGCCTGTCAACTACTTGGTCCCAGAATTCCCGATCCCAGCACAGGAGAAGTTCCTGCTCCAGACATGAAGATCGAAAGCCTTCGGAGGTACTTCTTGAATGCTTGCCTGACCATGCATGAGTATATGCTGCCCCATATACCTGGTTGAGTGGTGTCTATTTGTGCAGTCATGGGCAAATTATTCAAATCCTTGTGCCCCAGTTTCCAAATCTGTAAGATGGGGAGAACTCTTAAGATTCTTGTGAGGATTAAGTGGGTTAATACACATAGGCTAATACATGCAAAGTGTGTGAATGGTTGCTGTCACATAAAAAGTGCTCAGTAATGTTATTTATTATTAACTATATTATTTTTTTCCTTTCCTGTTGCATCTTCGCTGGCTCCCAACAACTTTTACTCTGGCCAGGAGATCAGTGGGTTCAGCTGCCGCCAAGTCACTGCCAGCCTCAAGTTAGTTTTAGCCATGAATTTGTGGCTTATTTGGCAACAACCCAACGTAACTCTGGGAGTTTTGTTTTGGGGATTATGCTGAAGGCTTCCCCCCCCCTCTCTTAATTTGTTTCTCATCTTTTGTTTTCTCATCTCCCTAACTTTTGTTATCTGTCTATCTAAAATTGCTTTTCAGTGCAATTTCTCTCTTCTGGTCTTTGTTTAGGGGCCCTTATGAGGCCTGAGTTCTGTTTATTCTAAAAACCTTTGCTAGGTTTTAAATCATTGAAGAAAAAGCATTTTATTTTATCACAGTTTTCAAGTGAGAAGGTTATAAGAAGAGTTTCTTTGTTTGAATGCTTTGCTTTGTGCTGCTTCTTATGGATGACTTCAAAGACAGCCTCATCATGTAATGGCAATGCAGAGGCAGATATTCCTTGGAGGAACTTCCCTGGCTCTAATAGGGAATGTCAGGAGGCTGCTCTGTTGTGGAGTGGAGGAGTTACTTGGTTGTGGAATAGCTTCTTCCATGAGGAAGTAGTTTACATCCTTTAGAATTGTGGAAAACCATCCCAGGAGCTACTTCAGCATGATCAAATGTGCTTGGGAAGGTAGCCACTTCCTCCCTTTGCTTTATTTCAGGCCTTTTTTTCCTTTGAACCTATAGTGCTCTCTTCCTTTTCTTTGCTCAGGAGTATCTCTGCTGCTTTCTTTTTTTCTTTTTTTTTTTGAGACGGATTCTTGCTCTGTCACCCAGGCTGGAGTACAGTGGTCTGATCTCGGCTCACTGCACCCTCTGTCTGCTGGGTTCAAGCAATTCTCCTGCCTTCATCTCCCAAGAAGCTGGGACTACAGGTCCATGCCACCACGCCCATCTAATTTTTTGTATTTTTAGTAGAGATGGGATATTGGCCAGGCTGGTCTCAAACTCCTGACCTCATGATCCACCTGCCTTGGCTTCCCAAAGTGCTGGGATTATAGGCGTGAGCCACTGTACCTGGCCCTGCTCTTTATTTATTAATTCCTTGTGCTTTGTCCATAGCCCCAACATACCTTTCTTTTTTTTCTTTTGAGACAAAGTCTCTTTCTGTCACCTAGGCTGGAGTGTAGTGGCGCGATCTCGGCTCACTGCAACCTCTGCCTCCCAGGTTCAAGTGATTCTCCTGCCTCAGCCTCTTGAGTAGCTGGGATTATAGGGGCATGCCAACACCCCCAGCTAATTTTTGTATTTTTAGAAGAGATAGGGTTTGACCATGGTCAGGCTGGTCTCGAGCTTCTGACCTCAGGTGGTCCACCCGCCTCGGCCTCCCAAAGTGCTGGTATTACAGGTGTGAGCCACTGTGCCTAGTCCCCAAAATACATTTCTGATGTTCACACCAAACTCCTGTTATTTCAACACAGGAATACATAGGGGACTGAGGAGCTGAGACCTGGTGTGACGAGGCCCGGTGCCTAGTGGTGTAGTTTGAAACCTACTTCTAGCACTGACATCAAGCAGTGAGGAGGGGGGCCCAGGCCCACGTTTTGGTCCAGAGGTTTTTCTCAACCCTGAGTCCAAACTATATGTAGGGCAGTAACATACTTTACAGAAACTCAGAAGTTGACGTCCATTTGAGGGCCTTTGTTTCAATTCTTCACTGAGTCTTTGAGCAAAGGAATAGCAGGGTGCCTTTTCTTATTTCATTGCTCGAGTTAGATTTTCTTTTTTTTTTTTTTGACAAACTCCTTTGTTTTTTATTTATACCACTTAGCTGGAATATGTTTTTACTTGATTGACTTCCTGAAGGTGGTATAGGCCCATCTTTTAGGTTTTAAAGTACTTTTCTCTTGGCGGCAGGGAGTTGGTGTCCACTGGGCTGGGCACCTGCTTTAGTGGCTCAGTGCTAGAAAGGAAGGCTCCTGGTATTACGTGTGATTTTTGTGGGAGGTACATGGCCTAGTTCTTGCTTGTTAGTAGGTCTTTAGCAATGAGGAGTGGCATACTGGGGAATAGTCTGTATTGGAAATGACAGTCAGGAGAAATGGCCTTTTTATTCAGTCACTGCCTCAGACTTTATTATGGTGAAGTTTATTAAAGTGATCACCAGCCTGAAAAGCCACCAGGAAAAACAAATATGGACCTATTAGCAAGCGTATGTTGTGAACTGTGCTTAGCAGCACAAGAAAGAACTCCCTGTCCTGAGAAAAGAGAGTTCAGCATTGTGATTTGTGTAAACAGACAGGGCAGCTTACAGATGCAAGCTTGCTCAATGCCAAATACAACTTTGGGCTGGTCCTGATGCCAAGGTCAGAGCTTTCTTATGCAGCCTTAGACACGAGTGGGCCAAGGCCAAGACGTGAGAGGGAGCCAGCTATGCAGCCTTGCCTGGGAGACGGTGTTATGCTCTGCTGCAGGGGCAGCCCTCACTGACCTAAGATTAAAGCCACAGGCCCAGGAGGCTGCAGTGGCACAGGCACTGGGAGGGCTGCCTTTCCTGTGGTTTTCTTCATTTGGCCTGTGATAAGGAATTGAGTGGCTCTCTTGGTAGAGGGGCACTGTTGTGTCTGCTTGTTTATGGCAGAGTTGGGAGAGGGTAGTTACTTTCTCTATTTCCTTTTCCCATAAATAACTCTTCTGAGGTAGAAGTTACCTCAGGTGAAGGTGTGCAAACAAATGTTCTTTGCAGGCCCATCAATCCAGTGGCCTGTGGTTGCTTGTCTTCCAGATTTTTCTAGGCTAACCTGGACCTTGACCTTACCAGGTAACATACCATAAACCCTGGTGCCCTGGAGTCAGGGCCTGGGTGGGGAGCAGTCTGATTATAGAAGATGAGTCCCTGGCCAGGGACTCACAGTGGCTCACACCTGTAACCCTAGCATTTTGGGAGGCAAAGGCCAGTGGATCATTTGAGGTCAGGAGTTTGAAACCAGCCTGGCCAACATGGGGGAACCCTGTTTCTACTAAAAACACAAAAATTAGCCAGGCATGTAGCATGTGCCTGTAATCCCAGCTACTTGGGGGCTGGGAGGCAGGAGGATAGGTTGAACCCGGGAGGCGGAGGTTGCAGTGAGCTGAGATCATGACACTGCACTCCAGCCTGGGCGACACAGCAAGAAGACTCTGTTTCAAAAAAATAAAAGAAAGGAGATGAGTCCCTGGCAGTTTTGGATTTTGGCTTGAAGTTGTTACATGGTTGGTGGAGTTATATTTCTAGAGCACCCTTGAGTGCAATATCTCCCTTCAGAGATTTCCAGGTGCATGCTTTTGGTAGCCCTTTTGGTATAAAAAAAAAATCCCATCAGTTTGTTCATCTCAGTGTCATATAGGCAGATAAGTTTTTTTGTTGTTTTTGTTGATGTTGTTGTGGACACTGTGTGGATTGAGGGAATGAGAAGACACGGTTCCATCAGCACTGCCACCACATGCCTGAATGAGGTAAAAGGCATGTCAGGTAAAGGTTTTCTGTAATAGGTCAGGTTTGTTCTATGTTGATACAGTGACCTTGTTACACGGCAGCTCCATGGTTACATTGCAGCTGCCAGCACTCTGAATAACAATGCAAATATCAAATGTCAGTGCCCCTTTCTCTTCTTTTCCAGGTGTTTAGGACAGACCTGATCACTGCCATGAAGTTGCATGACTCCTACCAGCTGAACCCAGATGAGTACTATGTGTTGGCAGATCCTTGGAGACAGGAATGGGAGAAAGGGGTCCAGGTGCCTGTGAGCCCAGGGACCATCCCTCAGCCTGTGGCCAGGTAGAGATGCCCTGAGGACAAAAGCCTCTCCACCCACCATTGCCCTTCTTCCCTGACAGTAGCCATTTGAGAAGAGACAATTTCTGAGACAATTGAGAGACCGTTTCTGACAGTTCAGCAATAAAATATCGTGAGGCCTCAAGTGGAAATGGAAATGCAGAAGCAACACACTTCAGGCTTATAGGGTAGTGATTTTGAGGGCCATGAGCCTCCAAACTTGTGGGGAGACAGGGGAGGTGCTGCTGTCTTATGAGAGGAAGGCAAATTCCAAGACATCCTGGGAAGTGATGGACTGGGGGAGGAACATTTGGGTGTTCACACATCTGGACCCTCTTTTCCTATCTTCCGTGTTCACTCTGGAGAGCAGCTCTCCTGGAGTGAAGCGTCTGTCTTTCTTGGGAACTGGCACAGCAGCTGCTCCACCTACTGCGGTTGCCTCCACCTTTGGAGGAGGACAGGTGTGAGGAGACCTGCCAGTTAGGGTTTGTGGAAAGGGGAGTTTTGGAGGGATTTATTTAGACTGTTCACATTGTTCTCAGGGTGTGTTCTCTGGATTTACTGACTTATCTTTAAAGATCCCTCAGGGTCAAGTCCTTGCCGACTCTCTTCACAGCCAGGTTGCAGCTGGTTTACTCATTTCCTGGCTACCAGCTCCATGCCACCTGGAGAGTCCTTTTAGAAGGGAGGATTGAGTGCCCTGTACTCAGCTGGCACCTGGCTTCTCCACCATCATCAGTGGGCTGCTGCTTTGCAAAATAGTGTCTTTCTCCACGCCAAGTCTTGACTGGATGTGCTTCCTGGTTTTCACCCACTTTGTGTCTCTCTTTTTTGGGCACTTAAAACGATCAAATTTGAGTTGTCATTTTGGGTTCTCTGGGGAGTCTATCCAATGGTGACAAATGCCCCTGTCTTACTCAGGCTTAGTGACCAATCAGGAGTGCCAGGATGACCCCTACAGATGAGAGTCAGCCTGTGGAATAGATTGGTCACTGAGCCTTGCAGGGGGTGAGGCCGACCATATATCTGCCTCAGAGTCTGTCTGAGTTGCAGCACCACTCGATTCAGCCCCAGTCCAGGAGGACTTGCTGAATGCTTCGCTTTCAGTGGGGACCCCAGGAAAGAAGTGAGCATTAATAAAGCTTGTAGAGGTTTTCAGTTGGATCCCTGCTCTTGGTTGAGTAGGAGAAATAAATCCCATCAGTTTGTTCATCTCAGTGTCATGTATATAAAATCACTCCTGTAATTCTAAGGGTGATGAAGGTACTCTGACAGACCCTGGGCAGCCTGTTGACAGTAATTTAAACTGTGGAAACGCAGATGTGGAGGGACTTTGTGGAGCCTTGGGCCTGTGATTAGGAAGACTGCCTCTTTTGGTCCCAAGTTGGGAATGATTTTCTCATCTTGTGCGTACTCTCTTATTTTTAGTGGGGTGAGTTTGAAAACACCTCTCCAGGTGGTAGGTTGGGAGGGCATGTGGCAGTACCAGGAGGGGAGGAAACTTGTGCTTTTGTTCCTGAGATCATAGGTATATGTTGAGATTGTCCCTTTCTTGGCTGGGACTCTGATTCTTAGATTTGTTGGCAATTGCTGAGGCCTAATTTTTTTGTTTATTTTTGAGACAGTCTTACTCTGTTGCCCAGGCTGGAGTGCCGTGGTACAGTCTCGGCTCACTGCAACCTCCACCTCCCTGGTTCAAGCGATTCTCCTGCCTTAGCCACTTGAATAGCTGGGATTACAGGCGTGTGCCACCACACCTGGCTAACTTTTGTATTTTTAGTAGAGACGGGGTTTCACTGTGTTTACCAGGCTGATCTTGAACTCCTGACCTCAAATGATCTGCCTGTCTTGGCCTTCCAAAGTGCTGGGATTACAGGCTTGAGCCAGCGTGCCTGGCCCAAGGCCTAATTTTCTTTTCCCTCTCTCCATCTTCTTTTGTGAGGTGTGAGGGTTGGTGGGTATCTCCCTCTGGTTTTCAGAGTCTGTTGTGCTTGCCTTGCCTGTGTGGTGCCCTGGTTCTAATGGCCTTCAGCAGAGATGGGCAGGTCTGGTTAATGGAAAGTGATTTAATGACTAACTTTTGAAACATAGGGATCAGTGGTGTTGGCTGCAGGCCAGAGTGGTCAGAGGTGGTGGGCAGGGCACAGCAGGGTCCTGGGAAGCAGATTTCGAAGTCTTCTGCAGTGTTTTCATTTGTATCTATTTCCTGTTCGCAGGCTTTAACAATTTCTTGTTAAGGTTTTATTAGCAGTGACATTCAGGTTTTCAGCTTTTGTTCTTAATAAACCTGGTGATGACCTGGGGCTCTGAGGGTTGGAGGAGGAAGTGATACCTGTGGCCTTGTGGCACACTTCATTCTTGTGGCTGAAAGGGTAACCTGGCTGCCCTTTTTTTTTTTTTTTTTTTTTTTTTTTAAATTATCCAGGGTTGTGTCTGAAGAGAAATCCCTCATGTTCATCAGGCCCAAGAAGTACATCGTATCATCAGGCTCTGAGCCTCCTGAGTTGGGCTATGTGGACATCCGGACGCTGGCTGACAGCGTGTGTCGCTATGACCTCAATGACATGGATGCCGCATGGCTGGAACTGACCAATGAAGAATTTAAGGAGATGGGTGAGAGATCATGATTTACATTATTTTATTAACCAGTGATGAATGAAGATGTATTTAGGCAGGTAGGTGAGTGGCAAAAAGCTCCTCATTGCCAGGTGAAGGCAGCTGCATCACAGCCTCAGTCAGTGAGAATCACAGCCCTGCCTTAGAGCTCAGCCTGTTTGACTGTGTCATATGTGTTAAAGATGGATTCAGAGTTCTGGAAGCAGGACTCCTCGACTTAAGCACCAGGGATTCCCATCCCTGTTCTGATCTAACTCCCTCATTCACTTACCCTAAGGAAGCTGAAGTCCAGGGAAATTAAGTGACAAAAGGGCATGGTCCACAGTTACTTGCTCTAGTATTTTTTTCCTGTGATGCCACCCAGATTCCTTCTTTAGCCATGGCTTGTTGCTTCTGTAAATGAACACTATTCCAGGCATGCTCCCCATTTCCAAGCACACCACTTGTGTTTTAACTTCAGCGATTTTCCTTACATCGTGCTCCAAACCTGAAGTGCTTTTTCCTTCCTGTTTATCTCTGTCCTGGCTTTCCTTCAGCGAAGCCTCATGTTAGCTGAATGCCCAGCCATTCTCTACCTCTTTCCTGCAAGCCCATTTTAGTGTATGTAGAGGTTGGAGCTTCTGTACATAATGTACTTGTATCTCATGGTGTTGAGACGGGGATGGCATGTAGGTCTCATCTCACGTGCCAGTCCTGATTGCCAAGGGTTGCCTTGAGGATCTTGATGAACAAGACAGTGCAGTCAAGTCTGGGTTCAGTGTGAAAAACTCTGAGGATTAATCAGCTTTTGTGCTGTAGGTATAAGGTGGGGAAGTGGTAGAAAGGGCTCTATATTATAATCAAGGACATAGTAAATAATCACAGGATCTTTGGTGGTGGTAGATTTCACAGCTTTGAAGGGCAAAGACCTTTTATTTTGGGTCTTTCCAGGGAGGCTAGCATAGGGTATGGCTTACAATAGATGCTTGTCCTGCTATTAGGCTCACCAGTCTGTTGAATGGGAGCGATAGTGTAGACTGAGCTGAGCATGCGGTTGTTTCCTACTTACTTGGATACTCAGGTGTTTTCATAGACAGAACAGATTTCCTTCTTGGTTCTGCTTTAGGGATTAATGGCCAAAACATTAGCAGGCCACAAGGTGGTTTTATGGCATATGTTCAGGAGTTGTCAGAGATCTCTTGGAACTGAATACTAAATTTTAGCTTCAGAGATGATACAGTTTCTGCTTTGTTGTAAGCACATAATAAAGACCAGTGGAATGCACTTGACTGGAATCTAGGTGTCCTGTGCTAAGTCAGAGGACTCAGCCCAAAGACTCTTGGCATTTATGAATGGTTTAAATAATAAGAATTGGGCTAATACATATTTGAAGATACTGTTAAATACATTGGCAGGATTAATTATGTAATTTTATAATGGAACACATGCTGAAAGAGGTTTGCCTTAGCTGTTTTATTAATAATTAATTAATTAATTAGATGACGTCTCTCTCTGTGGCCCAGGCTAGAGTACAGTGGTGCAGTCTTGGCTCACTGCAACCTCTACCTCCTGAGTTCAAGCGATTCTCTTTCTTGGCCTGCCAAGTAGCTGGGATTATTGGCACCTGCTACCATGCTGGGCTAATTTTTGTGTTTTTAGTAGAGACAGGATTTTGCCATGTTGGCCGGGCTGGTCTTGAACTCCTGACTTCAAATGATTCACCTGCCTTGGCCTCCCAAAGTGTTGGGATTACAGGCGTGAGCCACTGTACCTGGTGTTTCATTATTTTTTGCATTTGGTTAACTATATTTTTCAACTTCGTAGAAGTCAGAGGGTGAGGAGGGATAAAGCATTTAAAAATATTAGAGTGCCCAAAGTGAAATCTGTTTTCAGAGAACTGTTTTACCTACCAAGAAAGGCAAATTAAAAAAAAAACCACTCAAACCATTATATGAGGTCATAGTTTTGAAGTCATTTACATGTTAGTTGTTACGTGTAAAGAGTGTAATGAAATGACTTATTCAACAGTATATGTATTTAATATCCTTGAATTCTTTTTTTTTTTTTTGGAGACAGTCTCACTATATCACCAGGCGCCAAGCTGGAGTGCAGTGGCACAATCTCGACTCACTGCAACCTCTGCCTCTCGGGTTCAAGAAATTCTCCTGCCTCAGCCTCCCGAGTAGCTAGGATTACAGGCACACGCCACCACTCCCAGCTAATTTTTGTATTTTTAGTAGAGACAGGGTTTCACCATGTTGGCCAGGATGGTCTTGATCTCTCGACCTCGTGATCTGCCCACCTTGGCCTCCCAAAGTGCTGGGATTATGCTTTTCCACTTACCATACTGCATCCTCACTACCTGACCATAAGGAATATACAGTTTCCTGGAAGACTCCTTTGAAGATTGTTTCTTAGAAGAATCTGATAGGCATTTAGTACAAAATTTTGGGGCACTCAGGGATTGATGAATCAGTGGGTTGATTGATTGATATGATAACAAGGGTCTTGTGTCACTCAGGCTGGATCACAGTGGCACAGTCATGGCTCACTATAGCCCCAAACTCCTGGGCTCAAGCAATCCTCCCACCACAGGCTCTTGAGTGGTTGGGACTATAGGTGTATGCTACCACAGCTGGCTAATTTTCGTATTTTTTGTAGAGATGGGAGTTCCACTATGTTGTCTAGGCTGACCTTGAGTTCCTAGGCTCAGGTGTGAGCCACTACGCCCGGCTAATGATGGATTTATTTATAATATTATGTATTCATTTAAATTATTTTTAAATATACATAAACCAATACTATTTTATTGTAATATTTATTAATATGGATTTATTAAAATGGGTTTTGTGGCATTTTTAACTTCAGGAATGCCTGAACTAGATGAATACACTATGGAAAGGGTCCTAGAGGAGTTTGAGCAGCGATGTTATGACAATATGAATCACGCCATAGAGACCGAGGAAGGCCTGGGGATCGAATATGATGAAGATGTTGTCTGTGATGTCTGCCAGTCTCCTGATGGTGAGGACGGCAATGAGATGGTGTTCTGTGATAAATGCAACATCTGTGTGCACCAGGTATGTGGGGCAGGGAGGCCAGAAAGAAGAAACCTTTGGCACGAGCCTGTCTGCTGTGGGAGTGTGTGCCTGGAGTCCAGGATTCTTTCTCTCAATGGGGTCCATTTTTCTATGATTTAAAGAAATGTGCCCCATAGACTTTCTTTTTCCCTGATAGGTTCTTATGGTGATTGAACTATATACTCTGTTTTTGCAGCCAAAAGGATAGCATGCATCTACTGTGGAAATTGTCTTTCTTCCCATAGTGTTTTATTCTTATCCACAAAAGTCAAGTTTACTTAAAAAGAATGTATGAGCCCCCATCCTACTCTAACACCTAAGTTTAGTTATTAAGAACACTGAGAAAACAAACCTTTGAAAAGGTGCTTAGTGTGTTGTATTAGTTTTTTTACAGCTGCCCTGTGTAACAAATTACAATAGACTGTGTGTGCTTCAAACAACAAAAATGTATTGTCTTGCCATCTGGAGGCTAGAAGTCCAGAATTGAGGTATTGGCAGTGCTGGGCTTCTCCGAAACATGCAGGAGAGTCCTTCCTTGCCTCTTCATAGTTTATGGTAGTTTGCAGCAATCTTGGGAGTTCTTTGGCTTGTGGCTGCCTTCATCATCATGTGCGTTCTCCCTGTGTCTGTCTTTACATGTTGGTCTTCTTAGAAGGACACCAGTCCTATTGGATTAGGGACCCAATCCTAATTCATAGTGAGCTCATCTTAAATAATTAATCTGCAATGACTATCTCTAAAGAAGGTCACATTTTGAGATATTGGGGTTAGGACTTCAGCATGTCTTTTAGTGGACACAATTCGCCTGTCATATATGTGAGCATGTGTTAGGATATAAGGTGAGCTGTTAAGGGAGAGGAAAGCAGCCCTTTTTCTTGAAGGTGATTTCCTGTCTTAAAAAACAGGACAGTAGGTTTTGGTTGCTTGCTAAGATCCACAGAAAGGTAAACTTAGATTTCAGGAGGATAGGCGTTAGGCAACTCAAAAAGTTTATGACAATCTCAGTGCCTCTTTTCTTTCTTATTTAGTTTTTAATACAGTAATGAAGAAATTTGGATTTGTGTGGGGACATGTGCCCATGTGTATTCTTAGGATTTAAAAGGCTATCTGGAAGTACTTTCTTGGAATTCACCTGTTGATGCTGAGATTTAAAGCAAACTTGAAAGACTTGTGTGGAATAGGTGCTTGGTGACTTCTTGGGAAGAAGAAGCATGTTTGCTCCATGAAGTTCTTGATTACCTGTGCTTCATAATTTGTGACCTCTTAGGCTTTCCCTCTGTGAAGACCTCCCCAGTTGTGGCCCAGTCCTGGCTCCTCTTGACAGGGAAACCCGCGACTCCTGCTTCAGTCATGTCATTGCTGTCTGTTGCTCTGGACCTCACACTGTCTGGGAAGTCTCCTTATGGTAGTGAAAATTCCTATGTTGGTTTTGTTCTGTGACATGAGCACCCTGATGACTAGTGTTGCTTTTTGGTTGCTGGTCCTTCTTGTATTTACTTGGCTGACTTCTCAGTCTTTTTTTTTGTTGTTACTTGCTATTTTTTTCCTGATGAAAAACTTGAAAAAAAGGTTTCTGCTTGACAGCTGGTCAACCCTGTTTTATCAACAAGTTAAGTGATGTCTGGCAGGGTTGTGCAAACTGTCACAATGGGCGAGTGGCGGAGTTGTAATTTAAGGCTTTTAGATGCCCCCTTCTTTACCTTCCGTTCTTGCTGCCATATCACCTTGTCTCTTTTCCTTAACATTTACTTCATTTTTTTCCTTTGAGAAAATCCTTCATGGTATATCTTTAAGGCATACTTTATGTAATCTTATAAATTAGCATAGACCTGCTTTTCCATTAAAAAAAATTCTCCTTCACATGTGGCTCTAGAATGTCTGATACAGACCTTTAGTATTTTGAAACCTTTACAGTGTCGCTTAGCTCTGTTAAATTTTTTTCTAGTTAAGTCTATGTTGACAGTGGCTTATTCATGGCCCCGACACAGCACTCTGGGGCTTTGATCTGAAGTGTGACTTTTCTTTCCTCAACTCTCATCCTTGTGGTTTTCCTTTTTGCATCGTGGGTATTCAGATTACATAGCAGCTGTATTTTTTCTGTCTGAAAAATTAGAGTTCTGCTACTGTGACTCTTGACTTCCTGACTTCCAGGTCATTTAAGGATAAAGTTCTGAACAGTTTGGTTTTTAAAGGGCTCTCTGAACATGCTCCTGGTACCATCGTTTTTATTTTTCACTTATTTAACATTAACCTTCTCTGTTTTTTAACTCTCTTAATTACTTTAGTTGTTTAAAAGCCTTGATTTCAGCAGTTTATGTCATCTCGTGTAATTTTGCCATCTTGTACAAAACAGGCTTTATTTTAAAATTTACATTATTTTTTATCTTCATTTCTAAAAGGATTGATTCATTTTAACTATCAGCTAAGGAGACTACATTCTCTCTGAGTAGGTCTCCTTTTTCTGCCCCGTTATGTTCATCTGGGAGAGTGCTGATATCTAGTTGTGGCGTTTGCTTAGCCGGGGGAGTGCGCATGCTTCTTTCCTGTCCACTGCCATCTCATTCAGCAGCTTTGGGAGATTCTCTCAGCTGCTTTGTGCTTTTTCTCCACACCCTGTATCCCACCTTTGATAGTAAAGCAGAGGAATAGCTTCTCTCACGGAACCCACTCCACTTACTGCTACTAAACCGATCTATATAAAGTTTCTAAATATCGAGCAGTAAGTCCTGCTCGATATTTAGAAACTTTGTATAGATGGGTTTCTGCGGCATCCTCAAGTAGTTTCCAGGACCACCCTCTGCTAAATAAATATGTATCGTATCAGCAGAGCTCACACACCTCCTAAGTGCTACTGTGAGGCTGCCTGGCATTTTTCCTGAGGGGAGAGGGTCATAGCCAGGAAGCTGTGGGAGTACCTCTACTTTGGTGATGGTTCTGTTAAAATCTTTCTAGGTGTTTTGAAATGAATAGATATAATGGGAAAAATAATATTTTCTCTTTCTCTCTATTCCTCGGGGATGTGCTGTGGCATCACAGGCCTGTTACGGAATCCTCAAGGTACCAGAGGGCAGCTGGCTGTGCCGGACATGTGCCCTGGGGGTTCGGCCAAGATGTCTGCTGTGTCCCAAGAAGGGTGGAGCTATGAAGCCCACTCGTAGTGGAACCAAGTGGGTCCATGTCAGCTGTGCCCTGTGGATCCCTGAGGTAAGTGTGGTTCTTTTTTGTTGTTTTTACTTTTCTTGAGACAGGGTCTTACTCTGTCACCCAGGCTGGAGTGCAGTGAGTTGGATCATGGCTCACTGCAGCCTTGACCTCCTGGGCTCAAGTTATCCTCCCACCTCAGCCTTTTGAGTAGCTGGGATTATAGGCCTGTGTTACCAGGCCTTGCTTATTTTTTGTTTTTTTGTAGTGAAGACATCTCACTTTGTTGTTTTGGCTGATCCCAAACTCTTGGGCTCAAGCAGTCCTTTTTCCTTAGCTTCCCAAAATGTTGGGATTACAGGCATAAGCCACTGTGCCTGGCCAGGCATGGTCCTTCTTTTTTTGAGGTGGAGTCTCTCTCTGTCGCCCATGCTGGAGTGCGGTGGCGCGATCTTGGCTCATGGCAACCTCTGCCTCTTGGGTTTAAGCAATTCTCCTGCCTCAGTTTCCCAAGTAGTTGGGAATACAGGTGCATGCCACCACGCCCAGCAAATTTTTTTTCATATTTTTAGTAGTGACAGGGTTTCACCGTGTTAGCCAGGATGGTCTCAATGTCCTGACCTCGTGATCTGCCCTCCTTGGCCTCCCAGAGTGCTAGGATTACAGGCATGAGCCACCACGCCCAGCCATGCATGGCTCTTAATAGCACCTTAGCTCAGAAGGTCCTGACTTTTAACTGGGATTCGGTGAGTGGGTGGAGAACCATGCATAAATAGGCAGCATTGTAGCTGATGAGTAAAAAGACACCTTTTAATTGCTACCTTATTCCTTTGGGAAAAACTGAATCTTAAGCACACTGTCATCTTGTCATGGAATGTAAATTTGTGGAAATGTTAGCGGGAAGCAGCAGTCAGTTGGGACTGTAAGTTGGTGATGGTCAAACTTTGCCTCGCCCATCTATCTCAGCGAGCCTTCCCATCACAACACCCACTCCCTGGAGCAGACCTGCAGCACTTAACCAGCTGTGGCCTGGGTGTGTCATTCCCCAAGATCAGCTGTCCATCCTGTGTGTGGTGTGACGTACCATGAGGTACCACTGTGGTTAAAAAAACGACCACTCTTGGTCATGCTTTGGTGATTTTTATTTATACCTTTATTGTGCCTCATCCTTTTTTAATATCAGGTCTGGTCTAATTTATTTCTAGTCTTAGATCTTGACTAATAAAGTTTGCATAGCTCAGTGTGAAAATATAATTTGTGATTCAAAATCCAGTATTTTTTTTTGATGTGATTTTGCTACGTTTTCCTTCCAGGGAAAATTATTTGAGGATGATTTGGATTAAGGTTTCATGATTGAGGTCTTGGTAGCACCAGGTCTTGTGGTTTGGTATTGATGGGATACAATTCGGTGATCCAGGCTGAATGCAGAGATGATGATACCTTATTTATCTTTGTAATTTCCCATCTTGAATGTAGTCATTTTTTGGACTGAAGAAAATGGTTTTCTTTGGCGAGAGATTAAAAACAGGTTATATTTACTTACCCTGTTGTTGATAGCCTATTTGAATATGTTTAAGATGGATTTTTAGTTTTGACCAACTTGTTATGGGCTAGAGATTACATGAATCTTTGTCATCAGGCACTTTGGTGAGAAGTGAAAACTCAGTTATCTCAGTGTTTTTTTTTTTTTTTTTTTTTTACAAACAGGGATGTCTGTCAGATAGCGACTAGGCTCTGGGCTTGATTGTCACTGAGGTGTTCTAAGGCTTTTAAAGTAAGGGTTTGCTTTGTTCTAGGTGAGTGAGTATCCCTCGCCACTGTCTGGTAGGAGGGATGTAGGAAAGTAATGGATCTTTTAGTTTCTAACATTCATGTTCGCCTCTGATGACCTGTGCCACCCTTTCTTGTTATTTTCCGACCTTTAGGTGAGCATTGGTAGCCCAGAGAAGATGGAGCCCATCACCAAAGTGTCGCACATTCCCAGCAGTCGGTGGGCGCTAGTGTGCAGCCTCTGCAATGAGAAGTTTGGGGCCTCTATTCAGGTAATTAGCTTCATAAGAATGGCTTCATTTTCCTTTCCTGCATGGTAGGGAGCAGGATGAGGGAAGGCTATGTGACCTCTCCAAGGGTTTGGAAAGGGGACTAGTTCCAGGAAGCAGAATGAGGTTCCTAAGGGTTGACTTGAGCCCCAGTACGCACGCACACCTTTAATTGGCTGACTGTATCTGGTGTAACCAGAACCCAAGCTTTCACAGTCACAGGGTAATTGAGAAGTTCCCTTGAGCTGGGAGGTGGTTCTAGTTTGTTTCTCGCTCCCCACTTTCTGCCCAAAGCATCACAGCTTCTTTCCACAGGCAGACACCTCCTAGGAGTCTTAGTGAGATGTTCCTTGACATGGCATTTTAGAGTTGGCCACCCTCCCACCTGCAGTCACCAAGAATAGCTGCAGATGGTGGCCCATCTCTGTGGCTGCCTCCTGAGACTGCAGGTTTCCACAGTGTGCACACACCTGTTAGTAATCAAGGGGACATGTTGATGCATTTGCATTTGGAAAAACAAGAGACTCTTTGAACACCTGGGTAGAGGGGCATCCATGAGGTGCTCCTGTGTATGCTGGCATCTGATTGGATCATAATCTGGATATCTGATTCTTCATGGCACTGCATGCATGAGTGTGTGTATGAAAGAGCACTTGCACACCTCTGTGTAAACGTGTTGCCTGTCTGCGTTTGCATGTCCACGTACAGACAAGTGTGGGATGTCATGAGATAGGGAAATTAAGGAGGCAATATAGATGGCATACTGTTGTTCATGTGGCCTAAAACTCGACCTGAGAAGTTCATTTCTAGGCCTCATGTTATTGATTGACATCAAGACAGTCAGGATTAGAGAGGCCTGCAGTGCTGTGTGTGGCTGATGGGGGGACCTTCAGGTTAAGTTTGGATCTTTTGGGATATATCAGCACAGGCCCCAGGCTCTTCTTTGGTTTCCTCATTGAATTCTGGGAGTAGAGGCACTGGAATGGCTTCTCTCTGAATGCAGAAAAAACAGCAGCTCAGTACAGACATAAGCTCCAAGAGCATAGTCATACTGTGTCAGCCATTTGTTTTAAAGAAATGACCTCATTTGGCAAAGTCAGTTTGTATTTTGGCTGATAAATACTTCTTTCAGTAAGGCGGTCTTAAAATTTTTTCATTTTTTAACAAGCCCAGTGGTTCTATTTTCTTTATCGCTTCGACTGGTGTTCAAGAATCCAAAGTATAAGAGAAAAATATTTGGAGGGTGGGTCATGAGACAGCTGGTGGGATTTGGCTGGGTACCTTGGAAATAGTGGAGATATTTTTGGCATTTTGAATACATGATAAACACCTCTGCCCAAGAGTTGGATTGGGGAAGGAGAGTGGAGCTGGAAGAGAAAAGGGGGAGAGCCGATATACTTGTGTGTGTGTGAGTATGCATGTGATTATGCATGTGTATGTGTGAGTCTGCATGTATGTACATGTATTTGTGTGGTTATGCATGTGAGTATGCATGTATGCATATTTAATGATGTATGTGTGAGTATGCATGTATGTATTATGTTTGTATGAGTATGTGTATGTTTGAGTGCATGTGAGTATGCATTTTAGTTTGCAAGTATGTGTGTGTATTTGTGTGAATGTGCATGTGAGTATGCGTGTGTGTGTGTGGATATGCATGTGAGTATGCGTGTGTATGTGTTAGTGAGTATATGTGTGTGAGTATGCATATGCACATATGCACTGGCAGGAAACAGGCTGCAGCAGACCATGCTCCCTGGTGTTCTGAGAGTAGAATTTATGCCCTTTCCTGAGTATGCCAATCCCTGTCCGTAATTAATGTTTAAAAGAGGTAGGGATCTTTGTTTCCCTTTTGAAGAGAGATGATATAATGACTTTTTTGTTGACATTCACCTCTTTTTCCAGAACATTAATCTAAAGAAGAGGCCAAAGAAGGCTGACGATTTTTCATATCTTCACAGAATGGATTGATTTTATTAAAAGAATTCCTCTCTGAAATGTCTGCAGCTGTGAAGGCTCTGGATTACGTTTCTGTAACATCTGTTTGCTGAGTCAACCTGAATGGGAAAACCCAGAGGAAGGCCATTTGGCATTTTTACAAAGTCCTGTATAAATACTCTGCTGCAGTTCATTTCTCTTTAGGGTTAGAGCGCTTGGGTTAAGTGTAGTTTAAGCCAAACAGATAGTGTCTCAGTCATCTGTTCCCACTTTTACTTCCCACTTGGCTGTATGCTACAAGGGAGGACACTTTATCTACTTATGACAGTGGCCAGGTTGTGTGTGTATGTGTGTGTGTGTGTGTGTGTGTGTGTGTGTGGTTTTCTGTCACCAAAGCTGGTTTCACACGTTTCTTGGAATTGAGGTTATTTATAGAGAAAATACAGATTTATGTCAGTCTCTGTGGTTAGTTATTTGTAAGGGTGGAATGGTGAAGGGAGCTGGATTTTCTCTTCTTAGTAAAAGAGACCTCATGGTAGCGGAAGAAAGCCTGGCTGGCAGCGAGTCTCCTCCTAAGTACTGAAGTGTTTGTAGGGGGAAAAGCCTCAGCTCTACCCTCTGCTATCTGTGGTGATGTGATTCAACATCTGTTGAATGAGTTTAATTAAACTTCTCAATTGGCTTGGAGCCACTGGATTCTGTAACTTCGTGCAGCCCTGGCATGCCCTTGGGATCACTTGGCCTCAAACAATGCAGTACTGCTTTTAAGGGACTGGCTTCAGTCACTATGGGGAACCACCTTCTAGGGATTTGCTTAGCAAGATCAGTTAGGGAGGAGTTAATCAGGAGTTAATCACTTTGTTCCTGCTAGGCCAGAGGCTTGCTGTCTGGATCAAAATTGTGGCCCTGTTTAGGCAGTGAGAGGGGAGGTGGTCTGCATAGGTCGCCTCTAGGTTGATCTCCCTGTCACCCATGGGAAGGGTCTTAGAGTTCTACTGCCTCTCTTCGGTGGCCAGGAACAGTGTGCACAGATATTAGGGCTTAGAGTCCTCTGTGTATCTGGTGAAGCTTCTTCACAAGTGTGAAGACCTTTTCCCACTTTTCCTGTGCTGGATTCCTCTTGTCTCCTACTTTTGGGGTTTTTATTCAGTTTTCCCTTGGTGCTTCTTTAAGGAAGTGCACTGTTTATTTTCTCACTTGCGTTGGGACTCTTCTTGGCTGGGAAGTCAGAATGAGGATTTATGTTCAAACTATGAGTCGTAGTCATTCTTCCCAGGGAGATTCTTACTTGAGTTTACACCAGAAGAGCTCATATCGTAAGAAAACTCAAGTTAATGCCTGAAAGTGGACTTTGCATATTGAGTACAGATTCTTTTAAATATGATCCTAGTGCCACACTTTCTTCCTCTACACATGTCATTTATATATTCATGGCTGCTTCAAGATGGGATTTGGATGCAGTTTCTTTTCCGAGGAAGTTAGGGTTTGGTTGATTAAAACCTTTCATCTGAAGAGTGCCCTTAAATTTGAAGACTTGGCTGGGTGTGGTGGCTCATGCCTGTAATCCCAGCACTTTGGGAGGCTGAGACAGGCGGATCTCTTTTGCCCAAGAGTTGGAGACCAGCCTGGGCAACATAGGGAGACCCAGTCTCTACAAAAAATTCCCAAGCCTTACCTCTTAAAAACATGACATGATCATCCAGGGTTAATCCATGTACAACTTCCTGTCACAGGACATGCTTGAAGCATGGCTCTTCTGTGCATGTGTACATGGGGTGCCTAGCACTGCGGGCCTTCTGCCATGATTTCTCTGTAATGGTCTATTCTATGTTCTTTGTGTGTTCTTACCAGTGCTCTGTGAAGAACTGCCGCACGGCCTTCCATGTGACCTGTGCTTTTGAACGAGGCCTGGAGATGAAGACCATCTTAGCAGAGAATGATGAAGTCAAGTTCAAGTCCTATTGCCCAAAGCACAGCTCACACAGGAAACCCGAGGAGAGTCTTGGCAAGGGGGCTGCACAGGAGAATGGGGCCCCTGAGTGTTCCCCCCGTAATCCCCTGGAGCCCTTTGCCAGCCTTGAGCAAAACCGGGAAGAGGCTCACCGGGTGAGTGTCCGTAAGCAGAAGCTGCAGCAGTTGGAGGATGAGTTCTACACCTTTGTCAACTTGCTGGATGTTGCCAGGGCTCTGCGGCTGCCGGAGGAAGTAGTGGATTTCCTATACCAGTACTGGAAGTTGAAGAGGAAGGTCAACTTCAACAAGCCCCTGATCACCCCAAAGAAAGACGAAGAGGACAATCTAGCCAAGCGGGAGCAGGATGTCTTGTTTAGGAGGCTGCAGCTGTTCACGCATCTGCGGCAGGACCTGGAGAGGGTAATGATTGACACTGACACCTTATAGTGACTTAGAGAAGAAGATGCAAAGAGGCAAACGCTCGCCCAGAGCAAGAAATGATAGCCAGTCATATACTCTCAGACCCTTGTACACACCACAGCATGAGGTTGTGTTGGTTAAAAATATTTATGGGCCGGTAAACTCATTGTACATATGTGCAAAACTGCCACTGAGTGGGGAGCTTCTTTGTGATTTTCTTTTTTTTAAAACACTTTCCCATTAATCTTTACTGTTTTGTAAGGTCAAGGGGGGTGTATCTTCCCCACCCCTACTCCGTTCTAGATCTAGAGTGAACTGAGCCCCAGGAAAATGACCCAAGGAGTTGACTCATGATTGTTTGCAGACTGATTTAGAAAACCAAAACGGATTTAATTTATAATGGAGGGGGCCAGAGATAGGAAAATTTCTTGTTCATTCCAGGGAAACTCTAGGTGCCGGTGCTGGGCTTAAGAAGGAGAGCTAAGCATGGCTGCTCACTGGCTCCTGCTTTGTTTCTTGGGTAATTCATAGGGGCATTCCCAGTACTGTCGCAGAGCAAAGCAGGCCGTGGGTGCTGATGTGTGTGCATGAGCTGTATGTATACATGCATATCTGTTACAGAAGATAATCCTGGCAGTGAGGTACTAGGTCATCACTGAGGTTTGTGTGTATGTGCAAGTGTGTGTGTCCCGTGTCCATCCATGTCTCTGTTATGTGTCTCTGTGTGAGCGTGGGTGGGATTCCTGACACACAGGAGTGTCAGATCTGTCTGAGGAGCCCCAGTCATGCTCAGCACGCTACAGATGTGTTGTCACACTGAGATTGAGGAATGTTGTGGCTGTTGGCTGCTTAGCCTCAGCTGCTGGCACTTCCTTCCGCTGTTTGCTGCTTTTGTGCCTCCCCCACTTTCCATCACCTCTGGAGTCCGGACTGGACTTCCCTTCCTGCTACAGGAATAATGAGGAGTGAGCTCCCTCCCCCCAGGGTCTCCTGTTCCCTGTAGCTAGTTTCTGGCTGAGGCTTGCTAATTGGGGATGCTCTTAGAGCATCTTCCACATCAACTCTCCTGGCTGCTGGCTACTCATTAAATTCATTAGTGTGAAAGAGATGGGAGCCAGGGTTTCTGGCCTGAAGCAGTCTGCACTGAAAGGTACCCAAGTGGCCTGAAACAGTTAACACATCTCCCCCAATCTGCTCACTTATTAGTGGGGAGTGATTAACCTGCCTGGGAGAGACTCATAGATGATTTGAAATGGGAGTGTGGGCAAAGAACAGGGATAGACTCGGAAACTACTGGACCAAAAAAGCCCGATCTCATGGAGACCTGCATGGCCCTGTTAGAGATGATGTAGAAGTGAAAGTCTTAAAGTGAGCATTAGAGCTCCTTTTTAGTACATGACCGAGTGCCAGCGTATTTGTGATGCCCCTTCCCAGACCATGTTAGGATTCCTGGGAAGGCCGCGGATTCGAGCCCTGGAGGAGGCCGGAGCCTGGAACAGGTTTGTGAGGCTTTTGTGCTCCCATACGCCCCCTGGTGGTGAGTGTAAGTATGACTTTGCCTCTCAAAAACACATGTATGTGTGGCATTTTTGTTAGAGATGAGAAAAAGATTGAGAAGGATAAACTGGAATCCTGGTGAGAAGCCTTTATGCCAGCCCGACACCTGCTGTAATTGTGGTGCATGAGCTATGGAGCCAGATAGTTGTTGGGAGGGGAGGACAAGAAGTCTATTGTTTGGACTGTGTTTGTCTCACAATCACCACAAAATAAAAGTGTAGAAAATGCTTGTGGTGTACTAACTCTTTTCTGTACTTAAGTTACTCAGATTAACATGCACTTCTAAATCTAAACATTTTTTTGGAGTCATCACTGTCACTGTTTAAGTAGAACAATGCCAATGATGTATGAGAAACAGGGAATAAATCAGGATTTGTATGTGTGTGTGTGTGGCATTACTTACATTCACTTTATTAAAAAGCCTAAGGAACTTTAGGGAATTTGGATTCAGTTTATTTTTTTGAGATGGAGTTTTGCTTTGTTGCCCAGGCTGGAGTGCAGTGGTGATCTCCGCTCATTGCAGCCTCCGCCTCCCAGGTTCAAGTGTTTCTCCTGCCTCAGCCTCATGAGTAGCTGGGACTACAGGTGTATGCCACCATGCCTGGCTAATTTTTGTATTTTTAGTAAATACAGGGTTTCACTATGTTGGTCAGGCTGGTCTTGAACTCCTGACCTCAAGTGATCTACCTGCCTTGGCTTCCCACAGTGTTGGGATTACAGGCAGGAGCCACTACACCTATCCTTCGACTCAGTTTGAAATTGGCTTATTGTAATGAAAAAAAAAAAAAAATGTCCTACCCCAAATTTGCCATGATGCCTGTGTTGGTGGAGGCATTAAAAAATTGACATCTTTGCCATGCTCAGAGAGTTGCACTTACTTGTAATTATAAACAGCAAGTGTATCAGGGCAGGGGTGACAATAAAAAAAAAATTACTACCAACTTTTTTCTCAAGTAAGTTAGTTTTCTGTTTATTTCACACAATATCAGTTTATAGCAGATCCTCAAAAATCATTTAATACATGTGACTACAATCAAGGCATATAATTATTCCGAGACTGAAATGAGTAGCCATCATTAGAAAACAGACAACTGAGTGATTATGGTGACTGCTCTTTCCTGCAAACACACAACTCAGGGCATTGCACAATGGGCACCAGTTCTGGATCTGGAAGTTAGGTGACAGGAGATTTCAGGAGGGCTTGGGAGTCCTCAACTTTTAAGAAGACACAGTTGCTGATGTGGGTAGCCATGTCAAATTCCCATGGCTGCCGCTTCACTCTCATTCCTTTTCCCTAAAAGATGCAGTAAATGTGAGTTCAGCAAATGAGGACTTACTCAGATAGAGACATGCTACCTCTGCACTCTGGCTAGTGTTACGGAAAGTGGTCAAGTCCTGGGGGATGGTCGTCTAGACACTCAGTGGAATGATCACCTTTGAAAATCGGGTAGAGGCTACAGTGTCCCCGAACAAAAGGCGTGTTCAATTTCAGTGTTGCAGTTTTGGATTCAAGAAAACTGAAACCACTTTTTGATTTCTTAAGAGCAGTGGTCCTTAGGGTGTTTCCCTCACCTGGAAACTTAGGAATGCAAATACATGGACCCCACCTCCAAAGGGTGATTCTGTTTCGTGGGTACCCACATTTCTGTTTGGGAACACTGCTTTAGGGGAAAGTGATGATCAGGTTTAAGGTGGTATGAAAGTGCACCTGGAGATGGTTTAAGTGTTTTTTTCAGATACCTCCTTGAGGACAGTTGGAGAAGATAAAGCAGGGGAGGGAGCATGGTGGAACTGGTGCAGGAAGGAACAAGCTGGATGTGTTTTGAGGAAGGGTGAGCATCAGTTCAGCTCTGCAGGTGGGGGTGGCTGAGCGTTGTCCTGTAGGGAGCTTTATGCATAAGAGAGAGTCAGGTTTAGTTAGAGTCCTCACTGCTCTAAAGTGTAGTTAGTCTAGTTAGTCGGGGGCTGATTTGTTCGGATTGACAACCATGGTCTTTGTGTTTTGGGTTTACATTAGATACTTCCCATCAGATCATGAGGAATAGGAGTGCGATTTTTCTACTTAGCAGCCATAGTATGGTCAAAGCTACCAAAATTAAATTTGAATAATATACAAAGTTAAAATTCCCTGGCTTCCTTATTTTCTATTTTCAAGGATAATTTCAACTAAGGGAGATGCAAGTATCTCTATTACACATCTGATTTGAATATGAGAGCAACCTGTCTGCTCTTAAGATGTCAGAATTTGTTTCCATTTTTTATTTACAGTAGTCAGATTCCTTGTTAATGTAAAAGCAGTTCTGTTTCCTAGAAGTTTTGAATCTACTATGGATCTAGGTCTGATCCCTCATTCTTGAGCTTCACTCTTAATCTCCCCTGGGTAGAACCATATTATCAAAGAGAGTAGTCTGTTAGCCACTTCCATTCCCAAGTTGGTCAGGATTTGTATAAAGGACACCTGCTTCTTGGTGTGAGGGTGTGCAGCTGTCAGAGAAGGGAAGAGACTACCTTAACTAGGCTGTTTGACACCCATGTAATATTTACCATCAGGGAGTGTTTTTATTCTCAATTCTTTAATTTTAAAATAATTTAAGACAGGAAATAGTACTATAAGGGATTGATACAGAAATAAAGATGGGAAGATCCTGAAAGTGAATTGATTAGGGGGAGAAGACTGACTTGGCATTTTCCTTTTTAGGTCAGGAGATTTTTACCGCTATTCAAATGTGAAAGGTTGTATTCTGTCTCTCATGGCTTCATAGCATCTTATAAATGAGACTGCCTTGAGCACAACTGCAATTGTTAGGGTTTAGTCTATACTGACGCTTTACACCAGGGTACAAAATCTTGTGTGTCTTCACAAGGTTTGTTGATGCTTGTTGCTGTCTTCACTGCCAAAAGAAAAGGTTGGTGACCTTTGGACTTTTTCCACTTAAAGTAGGGTAATACCACTTTGTTGAGTTTATGGGGAAAAAAACTATAAAGGTGGCAGGGGAAGAGTTTGCTGATAATGGGATTATTTAGGGAAGCGAAGGCATGCCTGTAGGAGCTAATGGGAAACATGGTCGCTTTTCACTCCTGCCACTGAGATGACTTAGGAGGTCTTGTCCATATATTCCTGAGAAAGGGTTTAATTGTGTATTTGGCATGCTGTGTTTGACATCTGTGTTTTCAGTCCCATGTAATCTAGTCAGGTTGACCAGTAGAAGATTTTAGGACTGAAGGATTAAGGGAGTTTAGAGACAAATGCTTTAAATTTTGTGTATTAAGTGATGACAGGCGGGGAACAAATCTAAATACTGGTTACTGAGCATGGGTTAGGGTTTTGTAATCCAAAGCAGTCACACATCAGATAGGAAGTAGAGCCAACTCTTAGCACTGGGTCTTTTCAGTTAAAAACAAATCAGGAGAGGGGAAATACCAGTTTTTCAACTAATGATACAGAGAACTACTGGCCTAGAGATGTCAACCAGCAAATCATTGAAAGTTGGAAGTTTCCTAGGCATTCGGACACCTCATAGCAACATATAAGCTACCTGCTAGCTCTAGGCATTTCAGTGAGTTCAGTGTGCAGTTGACAAAGACATTTATTAGGATTCTTGGTAACCATTTGGTCTTCCAGTTGTTCTGGTGCAGGGGGCTCCATTCTGATGACCCTTGGCCCCATGTTTACCTAGTTCAGCCTTCAGAAGATACTCAAAGTGCAGAAGTGGCTTTTGAACTGTTCTAAAGCTGTTGGCCATCCAAGTGACAGACGATATTGATGCATTAATAAGCAAAGTCCAAGAGGTCGCAAGTTTTGACTTTCCTCTGCCGGGATGGGTTAGGTGTGGTGGAGGCAGGACTTCTGTATGAGTTCTCTACGTGTCCCTCCCAATCCTGTGTCCCTAACCCTCGTCAGTGTTGCTGCTGCCTATGTTAAGGGGTATATGTGGAATCCTTATCTACCCAAAAGGAGATTAGAGATTGGATAAAATGTTCAAAGTACATACTGATTTCAAATATCTGTCAAGGCCCTAGTAGGAGTAATTCCTCTTAGGCAAAGAAATTTAAAAAGCACCAAGGTACTGTTATATACTGTATTGCTTACTTAGAATCTTTATTCTCTACATTCTAGGTTCGGAACCTCACTTACATGGTGACCCGCAGGGAAAAGATTAAACGGTCCGTGTGCAAAGTCCAGGAACAGATATTCAATCTTTACACTAAGCTCTTGGAGCAAGAAAGAGTTTCAGGTATGCATTAAGCCCTGGTAGGTGAAAGTATAGGGCAGGGGTTTGTAAGCTTTAACACTGTTGAGGAAGAAATAATAATTTCTTAATTTTCTTATAGAAGAATTTAAGAAGCATACATGTTCATATTTAAAGGAGGTCTTTAATTTGAGGCATCATGGTTAAGGGAAAAAGCTATGAATTTGCCCTCTATAAGTATGGGTGGATTCCTATGTTCTCTGCTTACTGATCAAACAGATGCAAGTCTTTGAGTCTCCCCAGTTTCTTCATGTGCAAAATGGGGATCTCTCAAGCTACCTCTTGGAATTGACTGAAATGAAAAGTGATTTATACGTTACATAGTACTTGGCAAACATATAATGGGGATACCTAACAGGTTTATGTTCAGCCTTGGGCTCTATCTGTAACATGGTAAATATGGTAAATATATCTTAAGACTGTACTTAAGATGCAGTCCATTTTTATATAATGTTCACGGTAGGCTTTTTTGGTGTAAATGGATTGTTGAATATTACTGAGATTGAACACCAAAATTTATTGTCTTCCATTTTATATTGCCCTGGGCTAGACAAACATAAAAAGAAAACTGGGGTATATGCTTCCTCTACTCTAGAGAATACATCAGTTACTTGGAGATCAAGGGCAAAGATCAAGTTGGGCAGGTTGTTTAACCTCTGTATTGATCTTAAAGTTTATTCTAGAATCAAGACCTCTTAAGGGTGTTTTAGCACTGCATTCTGTGATCATAAGCCCCCACAAGTAGGCAGTATAAGCATTTCAGTGAAGGAGAGTTGAGTGTGCATCAGGCAGCATTAGGGACCAGGCAGCTCTTCAACTGGACTTCATTGGAAGACAGTGAGCCTCTCTCCTGCCTTGGACTACTGTTTAAAGTTATAGCAGTACCATTCTTGGTGCTTGCGTTGTGCAATCATAGTTGATACACTCTTGTTTTTGTGCATTTGTGGCTTTTTGTCACTCTATCTAGATTATTACAGCATATAGAGACAAAAAGTAAGTTGTTATAACCTGTTGCCCTCAGTCCAAATTCTGGTTTATCTAACCAGTTATGTGCAACTAGAGGGAGCTGGGTCAGCTGAACAAATAAAAAGTTTAGGGAGGTTTAAATGATGTTCTTGAAGTGTTACATAGTTTGAATGCAATAACTTATTGATATCCTAGATATTTTCTTCCCATGATTAAGTATTTTCCAGATGAATCAAGTGTTTATCATTAGCTGCAACTTGGAGTTTGTTAAGATTTTAAAAATAAATTTTCTAAGTAGGGTGTCATATGTAAAAGTAGTTTGATTCAGAGTCTCTACAGTGAACTCTCTCTTCATGATTCCTACTTGAAGACAAATAAATGAGATCTATTTAATGCCCTTGGAAGACTATCTGGTGCAGATCATCGAGCCTACAGCCAGCAAATGCTGAGCTGGGATCACTAATGCAAGTTGTGTCTGTGGAGTTGTGCCATCGGAGGGCTTTCTGCAACTCTTAAGGCATTATGTAATGAGTGATTACCTGTAAAAATAAGCCATAAAGAGCATTTTCATCTGATTTCATTCAAGTTATTTCTCGTGGATATTGTAGGCAGGTTTTTGCATTTCATGGCTGAGGATTTTACTGGGTGAGCGAATGATAGTAAGTTTGGGAGTTGTTTTGTGGTAACATAGTTGTAATGTAGATGTGCATTCAGAAGTCTTACTATCTTCCTACTGTTTCAGAAAACGAAAACAAATCCTCCTTTCATTCTGAGATGAGAACCATAGGTATGATCAGTTGAAAACATTCATCTTCCTGGAGGATGCTGCTGAGTAAAGCTCCCAAAACCCTTTAGGTGCTTTTTTTTTCTTTTTCCAGACCAAGGCTTCAGTTGTGTTCTTATTTATGCCTAAAGGCTGTCTCCTGTCTGCAGTAGAGCAGATGGTCGTGATTTATGTGTCATTTAGGGTCCATGGTTTAAACTGTGTGATTCTGAGAGTGGGTAGGGTTATTTGGCTGAGTGAGAGTGTCCTCAGTGGAAACAGTGCATATGGGGGGAGGGTCATGAGTTGGAGGCTCTTTAGAGACATGGGTTACAGTCAAGGAGATAGAAATCAGAGTTCAGAAAATGTTAGCCTCTTAACCATTCTCTTTTCCCATGGCAGGTGATGGAGTAAAAGAAATATATTCAGTGTGATGTGAAGGTTGATTCGAATGATTGATTCTTGAGAAAGCAGGCATTTCCAAACCAGCAGGTTGTAAAATACCTCCTCCTGTGGTCATGACAGCTCTGTGTTCTGAGTCGCTAGCTATGTTTCATTTGCTTGCAGTGTTTGTGTCTGGTGAGCACTAGGTTCTCATGGCCTCCTGTCTCATACGGGGCTGAACCTTGTTTTCTTGGTGGTTCATATCTTATGGGAGACAGAAAACATGAGACTTGCTCTTGCGAGATGATCTTGAGGCTGCTGCAGAATCATGGTCTTTATGATGAACTCTACTGTGCTGTGAATTCACCCATTGGGGTAACAACTCATTAGTGAGTTGTGAGATGAATTCAGTGGGTCATGGCAAGCATTAAAAATAAAGTATAATAGAAAATGTCAAGGTGCATTATCAAGTGACGAGGATTAATATTATTTCATGAAATGTGAACTTTTACTAGGTAATGCTGTGGAATTTAGTCTTACTGAGATTTGCATAAAAATATTAAAAAACATCAGTTTAACTTACTTCAAGTTGAATGACAGTTCAGTTGAATCCCACAAAAGTATTTTGCACATAATAATAGTGAGTATTTTTTGGAACACTTATGATATATCAGTAATTATTTTAAACATTTCCTTTATTCATTTCACGTTTACATGTATTTATCCTCACAATAACCCTGTTGAGGGTATAGACACTTTAGAGAAACTTAGAAGCCCCAGTACTTGCTTTTTGGGTACACTCAGTCTCGTGTGGGAGGCATAAGACTGGACAGTGGAGAAGTGTGGCGCAGTGGCTGTTCTGTAACCAGGAAGGGGGCAGAGGCAGCCATCAGGCACCTGATGGGTTCTGCATGGAGTCCCCTTTGAAAATCAGATCAGTTACTTTGGAGGAACATGTATTATTTGAAGAGTAACAGTTTTATGAAAAATTATGTGAGCTTCAGCTGTTTTAGAAAATGGGGCATACTGAATCTGCAGACGAAATGCAGGTTTTCAAGGCAGGTCATATCTTTACTATAAAAACCAAATTTGTACAAACTTGGCATTGTATTGTTGGGTGGGGAGTTCACATAAATTGGGCCACACTAAGGGTCTAGAAGTTTATTCTTTTGAATTTGCTTCTGCTGTAATTTTTGTTTATTTGTTCTATGTTCCTAGGTGTGCCTTCTTCTTCCTGCTCCTCCTCCTCACTGGAAAACATGCTTTTGTTTAACAGTCCTTCTGTGGGCCCTGATGCTCCCAAGATAGAGGACCTGAAGTGGCATTCTGCATTCTTCAGAAAACAAATGGGTACTTCCTTGGTTCATTCACTGAAAAAGCCCCATAAGCGAGATCCTTTGCAGAATAGCACTGGAAGTGAAGGCAAAACCCTGCTGAAGCAGCCAGACCTGTGTGGTAGAAGGGAGGGGATGGTGGTCCCAGAAAACTTTCTGGGTATTGAAAAGACCTTTGCAGAAGCACGTCTCATATCAGCACAACAGAAAAATGGTGTGGTGATGCCAGACCACGGGAAAAGAAGAGACAATCGTTTTCATTGTGATCTCATTAAAGGAGACTTAAAGGACAAATCTTTTAAACAGAGTCACAAGCCTCTCAGGTCCACAGATGTGTCCCAGAGGCACCTGGACAACACAAGAGCTGCCACCTCCCCTGGAGTGGGGCAGTCAGCACCTGGCACAAGGAAGGAGATCGTGCCCAAGTGCAATGGCTCCCTAATCAAAGTAAACTATAATCAGACCACAGTCAAAGTGCCTACAACACCTGCCAGCCCAGTGAAAAACTGGGGAGGATTCCGGATTCCAAAGAAGGGGGAACGGCAGCAGCAGGGAGAGGCCCATGAGGGGGCCTGCCACCAGCACTCAGACTACCCATATTTGGGCTTAGGCCGAGTTCCAGCCAAGGAAAGGGCAAAAAGCAAATTAAAATCTGACAATGAGAATGACGGGTATGTCCCCGATGTGGAAATGAGTGACTCAGAGAGTGAGGCATCAGAAAAGAAATGTATACACACCAGCAGCACTATCAGCAGGAGGACAGACATTATCAGGAGAAGCATCTTGGCTTCTTGATGCAACAGAGATGATGTGGAAGCCCTTTGGGCTTGTCATTGGGTGTGCTAGAGGAGAGCTCTGATGGGGGGAGAAGCAGAAACCCATTAATCCTGATCTACACAAACACATTTACTTGCAATTCAGATTAAATTTTTTTTCCAGAGTCATTTTAAAATCATTTTTGTGAGAAGTTTGTGTTATTTGCAACTTGTTGAGGAAACAGAAGAGTAGATTGTAACCATACAACACTGCTAAGACTAGAACCCGAACTAAACACTAAAATAAGAATGAAATAAATTTTAAAGAGGGCAAGGCTTAAATAAGCCTCCTGAATTTTTACAGCCCTCTGCATTCTTCCCAAAGCACAAACTCGTGGTTACCTGAATACAGGGAACCAGATACGGTTCTTGAGAAACCTTCATGGTACCATTCACAGCCCATAAAGCTTATTTTCTAGGACTGTGGTAGATCTTGAAATCATATTTATATTTGGCCATCAAGGCTATTTTTGTTACATTATAGTATACAGGCAGCAGCTCTGAAGCTTCAGTAACACTAGGGAATTTATGTGTAAATATAGCAGTCAGGGAAGAGAGTTTTAAAAAAGGTCATTATTGGCCGGGCGCGGTGGCTCAAGCCTGTAATCCCAGCACTTTGGGAGGCCGAGGCGGGTGGATCACGAGGTCAAGACCGTCCTGGTCAACATGGTGAAACCCCGTCTCTACCAAAAATACAAAAACTTAGCTGGGCATGGTGGTGCGTGCCTGTAATCCCAGCTACTCGGGAGGCTGAGGCAGGAGAATTGCCTGAACCCAGGAGGCGGAGGTTGCGGTGAGCCGAGATCGCGCCATTGCACTCCAGCCTGGGTAACAAGAGGGAAACTCCGTCTCAAAAAAAAAAAAAAAAAAAGGTCATTATTGGAGGAGCTGAGGGGACAGGGTGGAGCTGCTGCAATGTGGAGATTTAGGGCAAATGTAGCAAGGTCCTGCTGCTTGAAGCCTGTGAGTAGGTTGTGGATATGGGACTGGTAGAGAGTGAGACTGTTAGGAAAGTTGTATCTATGAATAAGGGCAGTTGAAGTACAATTTTTATCAGTCTACTTGACCTTTCTCTTCCCTAGCCACTGGCTATGGAGCCAGCTTGGGATTTCCCTGGCCATTGCCAATACCTGGCCATCTGGCTTCCACTAGTATAACAGCTACTCAAGTTCAAGTGAAGAACTTCCAGACTCTGGTGACTCTTACTTCCCAGAGCCAACCACTAGTGCATATACTGGGGAATCCGGGCTTCCAACATGAACGGATTCCTTAAGAAAAAGGAAAAAAAAAAAAAGAAAAAAAAAAAAAAAAAATAAAAGAGAAAAGCGAAATAGGTTATATTTTAAAAACAATAGAAAGGCAATAAGTTGCGATAAGCTCTTACTATTGACCAAGGTTATACAGGAAAGAGATTGAAGTGTACCCTTGAATAGGTTTTCTGTAGTCAGAGTTCTAAACTCTAATTCGTAACTTGGACTTTCTAATTGCAAATGGCAATAACTAGTAAGTTATCAGCAATAATAAATTTAGCATTAAATTTGAGTACAATGTTTTGTTTTTGCACTCACTGTAGTGCATATGTATTAAGACAGTGGATAGTGTTTAGGTCCTGTTAATTTTTTTTGGAATTCAATGTGGTTGTGAATCAAACTTAAGGAAGTAAAGTTTAAATAGCAATGAGATTTAGAATTATGGGCATTCGGAGCAAGCCCGACTTCCCCAAAATTACTCCTTAGTTTGTTAATACCAATATTCAGATTCCTGATTCATTTATACATCTGTTTCCATATGGCAGGGACATTATGATACTTAATGAATAATGCTTTGAGTTCTGTAGTTAACTTTCAAGTCTTCCAGATGATTGTCAACAACAAAAAAGGCTTATTGAAATCCATCTTGCTATGCAAGTTTTATCGGATGATCAAATAGTAGATCTGATGCATCCCCATTGTATGTATAACATTTTCAAACCAAGTCTTAACTTTTCAAATACATTTTAGTAGCTAATTCAGGGGAGGGGAAAGAATGATGCAGGTTTTTAGATTGACTATTTTTGAGCTATGGGGCTCATTTTGAAAGACTGCTGTCCAGATCAGCTTGTTGCTACAGATAATAGAAGGTTTTATGAATCCAAGTTGTATATTCACTTGTAGCATAATTTAAAAATTAGATTTTTTTTTTTTTTTTTTTTTTGCATATGAGCAAAAACCTTTTCCTGGATACAGGAGAAGGTTGGACTTTATCTACAGTTATCTTGTGACTACAGCAACAGCTCTGGGTGAGAGTAGAATTTATAGAGGGATAATTTGTCAAGCCATAGAAAGAAAATCTAAATCTAGTAAGTGTATAACCTCTCACCATTTTAAGAGGTATCAGATTCATTTGCACTATTAGGAATGCTAGTTTTGTGCAAAAATAATGCCTTACCTGTTTTTTCCCCACATTTAGGTTGAAAAGCTTTCAAATGTTCCAAGTTATGCTGAACCAAAAAACAAAAACAAAACAAAACAAATATATAAAAAAAACCCCACACAAAAACAAAACACACAAAAATAAAAAGCCCACACTTTTTATTCCTGCTTTGAAATGCAAATGGTATAGAGCACGGTTTCTCTGACAGTATAATGATAGCTTTGTGAGTTAGTTTCATGTCATGCTGGGAACTCTGTATGAGGTGGCCATAAGCAGCAACCAGCCCAAACACCCACTTGCATTCTATTAGTATGGAACCATTTGCTTTTTTTTTTTTTTTTTTTTAAGCTTTATCTTTCCTTGTGCATCCTGACCAAGAACTATCTTTAATCATGATTAATGTATTATGTCAAAATGTAGGCTAGTTAAACTTTTGTAAAGTTGCCTGGAATGTCATATGTTAGGTTATAAACACAAGATCTAAATGATGGGTTTTATGTGTTGTGTACAAATCTTAATTATTTTGAAATGGACAAACTTGTCATTACATTTGTAACCTTGTACAGAGGATTTTTCACTATGTGCCTAGCTCGGTGTCCATTCAGCTAAAATTGAAAAAAAAAAAAAGGTGCATGAAGAGTTAAAAATCAAATAAAGGTATATGTAGAGATGACTATTTTATATTACATGACCCAATCCTGTATTTATTTCTACCCCCTTTTTGAAAGTATTTATAAAACTAGTTGAGGACAGCTGTATTTTTTTGTTGAACTATTTAGTAGAATTGTGCCTTTTTGTCTGTATGTGAATAAATGCTGTACATTTTGCAATACATTTTAAGTGTCTTTTGAAATCTGCTTTTGCTAAATATTTAAAGGTGTATGTGACTTAGCAGTCCTGAATCAGTCAGTTGTTTACTGTCTCACAATTTAGATCAGGAATGAGAACTGTAGAGAACATACCAAGATCGTACAGAGCACAGATTCACTGGTTTGTTTTCTGGCTCAGCTCTGCTGGTGAGACTGAAAAATAATGGTTTGATCTTAGTCTTGCCAACCTGAACTTCTTTCCAGAATACAGTTTTGGATCTGAAAACAGAATCGTTGAAACAGCATAGACTTCAGGGTCAGAGAGAACTGGATTTAAAAGCTAAACTATAGTTACCAGGCACATGACATCGGCCAAGTCACTTAACCGTTTTAAGGCTCAGTTTCCCAGAAAGAGGATAACAGCTTAGTATCTTAGATACTGAAGTAGTTGTGATGTTTAAAGCAAGTCCATTGAGCACCTAAAAGAAGCATATATTAGGCATTTAGTAAGCGGTAGGCTATTTTTATGATTGGGAACAAGACACTGATATTTGCAATATTATTTTAACTTTGCAATATTATTTTAACTAATGAGCCTTCTGAGGTGAAAAATATTCCTGAATGATGGGAAGCCTGTATTTATAATACAACCTTTGAATAATTTTAAAAATAATTTTTCAAAGAGCAGTTTCATTAAATGCTTTCTTTTGATCACAACTCTGGGACAGTAGAGCAAAAAAGAGAGATTATCTGCATTCTACACGTTAAGACTTGGCCAAGATCGCAGCACTAGCAGAACTGGGCCTGCACGCTCATTCTCATTCCTGGTTTTGAGCTCTCCCTGCCTGAAACAATCTTTTGTACAACCACTACATGCAGTAATTAGCATAAAGTGAAATGCACCTTTTTCTTTATGTTGGGAACAGCAAAACTGGTGTGAATTATGCATTCTCATGTAGGTTATATTGATTAGGATCCAAAACAGGGTAGCTATCTTAGTCTAAATTATAATTTTTGTAAGGATTTGGCCAGTTTTTTAAACAATTGTTCATACATTTTGCTAAAAGCTTGTTTATTTCTCGTTTCTCCTTAGTGACTATTTACTTACATATTGCTTGCTCTGAGTAAGACCCCAGAGAGAAATAACTGATTCTTCCTACAAGGTCTTAAAGCTGAATAACCACAATAGTTCCGTAGGGAAATTAAGTCCCCAGGAGCCAAAAGAAGGTCCTATCACTGGCAGTTGTTCAATCTGTGATGGGAAATGTAGCACCAGGGACTCATGTTCATGTTTTCACCCAAATCACTGAGCAAACAGTTTCTACCTTTGAAGCATTAGCCATCTGCAAAAAACTTCACAATTAACTTCAATATGATTTCCCTTTAATGTTCAGAACTTCATTAGATGATGTTTTCTAGCCTAAGGTAGGCTTTGATTGCCTGGTCATTGAAAAAGAGGATAAATGCAAATCCAATGTTATCTACTTCCTTGACTTCAACTGTTTCCTGTACTAACTGAGTTTGGTATCTGCAATTCAGCTTTTCTGGAGTGTGAACAGATTGCCTATTGGGCATCCCCTCTTGGATGTATACAGGTACTTGAGATTTTTGGAACTCAATCTTTTTCTAGATTCTGTTTTACAGAATGTCCTCCTAGACCGAAACCTGGGAATCCTTTATGAATCCTTCAACTCTCACAGCCAAACAGTGAACAAATCCTGTGTATTATATTTAATATTGCCTTAATATTTTTTGCTTCTGATCCCACTACTGTTTGTTATATAATTCAGGCCTCTTCATTTTTTTGCCTGGATTACTGCAGCAGCCTCTTATCTGGTTTCCTTGACACAAAACTTGCCGAAATTAATCTCTCCAGCAACTGGCTGAAGCCTTGCCAACAGTATCTCCATAGTGATAACTTCAGACATAAAAACTGATTTTGCCATTCCACATCGCCTTTGGGGGAACCTCCTGACTTTTGCAGATAATTACAAAGGTTTATCAAGTGGCAGGCACTGGTATGTATGTTAATTAGTTTAATCCTTATAACATGTGAGATAGGCACTATTATCTCCAATTTGCAGATGAGGAAGCTGAGGCACAGAGAAATTAATTTGCTCAAAGGTCAGTAGGTAGTCTGGGATTCGATCCCATCTGGGATTGAGACCTTTAGGCTGTACTGTCTCTGAGAATATAAAAATAGTTCACACACGGCTGGGTGTGGTGGCTCACACCTGTAATCCCAGCACTTTGGGAGGCCAAGGCAGATGGATCACGAGGTCAGGACTTTGAGACCAGCCTGACCAACATGGTGAAACCCAGTCTCTACTAAAAACACAAAAATTAGCCAGGCGTGGTGGCGTGCGCCTGTAATTCCAGCTACTCAGGAGGCTGAGGCAGGAGAATCGCTTGAACCTTGGAGGCAAAGGCTGCAGTGAGCTGAGATTTCGTCACTGCACTCCAGCCTGGGCAACAGAGTGAGACTCCATCTCAAACAACAACAAAAAAAATTTACACACAAAGTAGTTCAAGCATTTCTGAGGATACTGAGGACTACACATGTAAACTTCAGTTAAACGAATTCCTATAAGGCAAAGCCAATAAACCTGGATAAAACATGTTAATGCACTGGTTAAAAGACTGAGTATAACCTAATAGATAATGATCAGGATAGTCTGATTATGGTCAATTAGTTCCTTCCTTATTCTAGGGAGAATGGAATTAATTTAGTCACATGCACATTTATGTAACACGCATACATACATACACATTTATAGATCAAATATATGTATACGTGATCAAAGAAAACACTGCTATCAAAGAATAAAAAGAATAACTGAATTCTCTATATGTCTTAACACTGCTTGGAAAGTTACAGAATTATTTAAAATCACATAGTTTCTTGATGTTGAGAAGTAGTATCTTTACACTAAATTAAAGCTATGTAAAACATCCAACTCAGGATTTTTATGATACAAAGTGTAATAAATCCAGTTATTTTTACAAGTGAATAAGCAATGCCAGATTAAGCAACAAAGATAAAAATAATGTGTACTGTCATTTCTAATGTATCGCCAATGTGTCCTGACATTCTCACTACTGCTTGGCTTATGTATGGCTGAGTTTTAAAAACTACATTTATGATTATGTATTAGTGTGGTTATTTAATCACTAATCTGGGTGATAGTTCTAACTTTGGGATTATGACCAGTGTAAAACAATTTCTTTTTTTTTTTTTTTTAATTTTTTATTGGATTGGATTATAGGTTTTGGGGTACATGAGCAGAGCATGCGAGACAGTTGCGTAGGTACACACATGGCAGTGTGCTTTGCTTTTCTTCTCCCCTTCACCCACATTTGGCATTTATCCCCAGGCTATCCCTTCCCACCTCCCCCTCCCACTGGCCCTCCCCTTTTCCCTCCAATAGACCCCAGTGTTTAGTACTCCCCTTTCTGTGTCCATGTGTTCTCATTTTTCATCACCCACCTATGAGTGAGAATATGCGGTGTTTCATTTTCTGTTCTTGTGTCAGTTTGCTGAGGATGATGTTCTCCAGATTCATCCATGTCCCTACAAACGACACGAACTCATCATTTCTGATTGCTGCATAATATTCCATGGTGTATATGTGCCACATTTTTCCAATCCAGTCTATTATCAATGGGCATTTGGGTTGATTCCAGGTCTTTGCTATTGTAAACAGTGCTGCAATGAACATTCGTGTACATGTGTCCTTATAGTAGAACGATTTATAGTCTTTTGGATATATACCCAGTAATGGGATTGCTGGGTCCAATGGAATTTCTATTTCTAAGGCCTTGAGGAATCGCCACACTGTCTTCCACAATGGTTGAACTAATTTACACTCCCACCAACAGTGTAAAAGTGTTCCTTTTTCTCCACATCCTCTCCAGCATCTGTTGTCTCCAGATTTTTTAATGATCGCCATTCTAACTGGCGTGAGATGGTATCTCAATGTGGTTTTGATTTGCATCTCTCTGATGACCAGTGACGATGAGCATTTTTTCATATGATTGTTGGCCTCATATATGTCTTCTTTTGTAAAGTATCTGTTCATATCCTTTGCCCACTTTTGAATGGGCTTGTTTGTTTTTTTCCTGTAAATCTGTTTGAGTTCTTTGTAAATTCTGGATATCAGCCCTTTGTCAGATGGGTAGACTGCGAAAATTTTTTCCCATTCTGTTGGTTGCCGATCCACTCTAGTGACTGTTTCTTTTGCCGTGCAGAAGCTGTGGAGTTTCATTAGGTCCCATTTGTCTATTTTGGCTTTTGTTGCCAATGCTTTTGGTATTTTGTTCATGAAGTCCTTGCCTACTCCTATGTCCTGGATGGTTTTGCCTAGATTTCCTTCTAGGGTTTTTATGGTGCCAGGTCTTATGTTTAAGTCTTTAATCCATCTGGAGTTCATTTTAGTGTAAGGTGTCAGGAAGGGGTCCAGTTTCTGCTTTCTGCACATGGCTAGCCAGTTTTCCCAACACCATTTGTTAAACATGGAATCCTTGCCCCATTGCTTGTTTTTGTCAGGTTTATCAAAGATTGTATAGCTGTATGTATGTTGTGTTGCCTCTGGTGCCTCTGTTTTGTTCCATTGGTCTATATCTCTGTTTTGGTACCAGTACCATGCTGTTTTGATTACTGTAGCCTTGTAGTATAGTTTGAAATCCGGTAGTGTGATGCCCCCCGCTGTGTTCTTTTTGCTTAGAATTGACTTGGCTATGCCGGCTCTCTTTTGGTTCCATATGAAGTTCATGGTGGTTTTTTCCAGTTCTGTGAAGAAAGTCAATGGTAGCTTGATGGGGATAGCGTTGATTCTGTAAATTACTTTGGGCAGTATAGCCATTTTCACGATATTAATTCTTCCTAACCATGAACATGGAATGTTTCTCCATCTGTTTGTGTCCTCTCTGATTTCGCTGAGCAGTGGTTTGTAGTTCTCCTTGAAGAGGTCCCTTACGTTCCTTGTGAGTTGTATTCCAAGGTATTTTATTCTTTTTGTAGCAATT